ATAAAAGCCTACATATAATACAACTATTCTAGTTTCTTCAACTGGTTGGGTTTTGATCCAAACTGTGATCCGTTGCCCTAAACGTAAACAGGTGCACGTGATGGCTGTGCGGATTAATGTACAGAGTGCTTAAAATTCTGCATATTTTTATAAAACACTTAGAAAACCCAGAATTGTTTAGAAATTATCCTCATTAGGGCAAAACTCCACGTTTTTACAGTTGATTCTATTTTCATTGTCAAATTGATTGTGTCCTGATTGCATCCTGGTTTTCCGGATCGAGGAAAAACATTGAATCCCAAAAACAACATGCACACTTTACCATCTATTTTCAAGTCATGTGGCTGAAGTCCAAGTGAAGTCACAAGTCATTGGTGTTAAAGTCCAAGTTGAGTTCTACGTCCTTTATGATCTTCCAAAGTCATCAAATCTGTGACTGAGGCCAAGTCATGTGCCTCGAGTCCACCACACCGCTCTCTCAGCAACTTACCAAAACAATGGCCACACACACACACACACACACACACACACACACACACACACACACACACACACACACACACACACACACACACACACAATCACCTGAACTCTGCAGCGAAGCAACACACATCCGCAGAGTCAGAAGAAAACCTGCCTCCAATTAAATCCTGCCTACACCCTCCAAGTCATTAAGAAGTGAGCGGCTGATGAAACTTAAAAAAAAAAAAAGAGAAGATTCTGATCCAAGTTTGGGAGCCTGAGCTGTTCTGCATGGTTGCTGCCATTACCTCACACACCTGTGTCTCCCCCTCTGTGATGAATCGTGTCCATAAAGCTGTCTGGCCTGCTGGAAATCCATTTATCAAGAGTGAGGCTGCACACCTGATGGAGGCTCCATCACTGTGGCTCAGATCTAACTTTCACTCCGCTGACTCCAAACTTTTTCCCATTATGTCTAATAATGCTAAAGTTTCAAAAAGTCAGCTCGACATAAAACGAGCAGAGAGAGTGTAAGTCAGGAGATTTCTGTTGAAAAAATGTCATCTCAAACTTTAGTTTAACTACGAAGTGTCGTCTTGTTTGTTTATTTCTGTTGAGGACAGAATGTCTCTGCACAGTTTCAATATCGTTTTATAATTTTTAACCTCCAGTCATTTACTTCCTTCCATTTGTTAGGTCTATGTTTGGACATCTAAGGTGTAAAGACTTGTTAATAAAGATTTATTAACATCGTATCTAGTTTAGTGCTGTCAGCATTAAGTAGTTATTGTGATTAATTAATTTTGTCCCATCTGGCACACCGTAGATATTCCTCCTCAGTGTCTCCCTGTAGTCTCAGTGATGTAGAAGAAGGACACTGCTGCATCTTTGAATGTCTCATTTCACTTTAACAAACTCTCAGACAGCTCAGCTGACGACTCCAAAGTAATATCCACCTTATGACATCACACATTGACCTTATGACATCACACATTGACCTCATGACATCACACATTGACCTTATGACATCACACATTGACCTCATGACATCACACATTGACCTTATGATATCACACATTGACCTTATGACATCACACATTGACCTTATGACATCACACATTGACCTTTGTTACTGTTCCTTTGAGCTGTTTGACGTCAGTTTGTGATCCATAACCACTTCCTGTTTCTGTTCATGTCGTAACCTTCAATAAACCAGAAGGTCCTTACTTTATTTCAAAATAAAAGCAGGGTTGAATTAAAACAGCAAGAAAAGTACTCTCAGCTTAAGACAGTACAAACATTCAAAATAAAAGCCTAACAACTGATATTTTTAAATGCAAAATAATGGAATTTCAGACATGCGATTAATCAAGATTAACTATTTATTTTTTTACTTTAATAGCGATAGGAACAATTTAAGCGTTCGACAGACCTTATTTTATTGAATGCTACTACTTCTGATGTATTGGCCTGAATATAAACCTATAACCATATTAACCTTGTTAAAAGAAAAGCCGTCTTTTCATGAATGAGTTTTAGAAAATGCTTTTTGAAGACCAAATCTTGTTTGAAAAAAATGCAACTAAAAATTAAAATACAAATGCATCGAATAAAACAAGGTAGGTTGTTTTTAACACTGTTTTCAATATGCTTAGATTAAACAGTCACATTTTAATGAAATGAACTCATCATATAATCACTCCCCTTTCTTGTGTAAAGAGGCAGGTGGTAGCATATAAAAACCGACAGGTGTTTTGTTAGCATTTACCAGACTGATGCAAGGGGAGTTTGTGTACATTTTCCCGACGTTAACAACACAGCGCTGAAAAGACAGAAGCGTCTCTGAAGTCAAAGCGTAGGTGCAGCTGTGTTTACTTTTCTATCGTAATAAATGCAGCATGAATAAATAAGTAAACCTCACACTGTGATGTTGTGTGACCCTAAAATCTGCTCACACTCTTGTTCTAAAAAAATGAAATGTTGGTCAAAAAACCTCTGCTGCAGCCTCACTTCTTCATGGCTTATTGTAACTCCAAACTTTAGCCCAATCTGTCTTTATAGCTGTAGTTATGAGCTTACTGAATCGATGCTTGTATTTCTGTTTGACTTTGTTTGAGCTCTTACTCTTGTTGTTGTAGTTTTATCCCTCGACAATGGCAAACATTATAAATGCAGCATACTGAAGTTATTCCATGATTGTGTATCAGGCGGGTGTTTGGAGTCTATTTTTCAGTAAATATCACCAGTGATTGAGAACACAGTCAGAAATGCACTTCACAGGTACACGCTGTATAACACAGAGTTGTGATTGAGCGGCGTCCAGCTTGGAGCTATAAATCATCACCATCCCACCTGCTGCATCTGTAGCTGGAACTGAAGGATCTTATATAACAACCGTCCCCGTCCAGCTGTCCACTGCTCTGCTCTCTTATCTCAGTAAGCACATCTCACAACTCTGTGCCAAAAAAGAAAAACACTCACATGCAATAAAAATGGATTTCATCGAATGTGAAAGTAAAGCTTTAAAGAACAAATAAACAACTGTGTGTTTCCAATTCTAGTGAATTGGTGAATAAAAGAGTTTGCTGCAACGTTTCATCAACGTTAAAGGATTTGAGAAAAACATCTGCCGACATGTCAGAGATGGATTCTTATGATGAGAAAATCTAGAGACTTTGTGGTTAGGAACATTTTCTATCATTCAGCAGACCGGAATCAAAAGATTTGATTGCCAAAAGAAAGTGTCACCTTTGGGGATTTCAAAAGGGTAATATAGTTGTTTTTTTTTTGTTTTAGAGGCGTTGTAAATTGTGCCAAAATCTCCCAATTTGTTGGTTATAAACAAAAGATTTTGTTTTCTGCATAATGCCCACAATACCACACTGAAAACTAGGCCTCATAAATGTGTTCATCACTATTCCCACAGGACTAGAATTACCTGGGGACCTGTAATCATTTGATTTAGTACCGACCGTAATTTAGCAAACACTGATTTGCTCTGATTGTAGTAATCAAGGCGGAATCTGCAAATCAGTAATTTGGTGTGGCAATTCTTTTTAAGTCCTGCAGCTTTTTCAGTCTCTCTTCTCCGGTAAAAATAATGGAGGCTGTGTTGGACAATAAGGTTTTGTAAATAAAAGATTTGACAGCATTGTGGGAGCAAATTCAGCCGCCTCATCTTGCTTCAGTATGGAGAACCAGTTTCAGAAAGAACAAACTAAAATCCAGACATCAAAGAGTGATTAGATGGATGATGCGCTTTGCCTTCAGGGGCAGATCCAGGGGGTCAGCCAGGGGGTGGGGGGGGATCTGATTGGCCACCCCAGTCACTACCCCAAAATCCTTAACTATTATTGGCTTTTTGCTCAGAGGCAGGGTTTGTGTAAAAGATCAACTATTTGGCCAGTGTTGGAGGCTGCTAGTAGATTTCTTTGCATTTTTTTTTTTTTTTAAGATTTATTTTTTGGCTTTTTGTGCCTTTTTTTGAGAGATAGGACAGTGTATAGAGTTGGAAATCAGGGAGAGAGAGAGAGGGGAACAACATGCGGGAAAGGAACCACAGGTCGGATTTGAACCTGGGCCGCCCCCTTGGAAGACTACAGCCTCCATACATGGGGCGCACGGACCACTGCGCCACCCTGATTTCTTTGCATTTCAATGTTGCTTTTATCCTTTTGTTTCAACGTCCACTTCTTCTTTTTCTTGAGCCACTTAAAAAATTCAACTGGGAACATGTCTATGTTACCACTCTCTAGTGTTACTTTTTCAAAGTCAATTTCACATATTTTAGATACTTAAATGTTATTAACTAACATAGATATTATTAGTACAGATAGAAATAACACTTAATGCCTCATCTGCATAAGTCAGCGCTCCAGTCGAGCAATCCCCGGTCAAGAAAGTCCTGTTTGCAGCAAACAGTAAGGTTCATTTTCTCTATTTCAACAGACTCAAATTATAGGTCTTCATAACGCCAAGGGCAAGGCAAAACGTGAGTTGCACCACATTGACTTCTTGGTATAGAATTTGAAAACAAAAAGAAGAGCGCAGTGCTTTTAATTATTGTTGCTAGGTAACCTCTACATCACCAACTTAGACACTTCACATTAGAAATCTCCAAATATTAAAAATAGGTGAGGGAAAAAAAGCCGGGGTGTGATGTCTGTAGATATGAGTCATTTGGAAACTTTGCTTATCCAGATTGATCGGGTGCACCAAACATTTACATTTGGCGGTAATTCAGAAGTATCTGAAAGTATCCAGTAAATACTGATGTCATGAGCAGAGGGCTGAAGAAGGTACCATACCAAAAACTCGCCCACATCGATTTTGGTTCACCCATTATAGCCAAATAAAATCTTCTGTTAGCTTAAGGCCTCAAAGCAAAAGTGGATCCTCATTCAAAACAGCCAACCAACCTTTATACCATACCAAGGGGAGAAGCTTTTTGGCCATGCTTGCCACCGTTTCTAACTGTAAACTAAATCACCACAATTGCATTAGAAGCAAGTTTTCACAAAAGCCATTTAAGTCCGTACCTGATTCCATGAACTCGTGGTTGAAGACGCTCCAAGCATCTTTGCTCTTCTCCAGGTTCTCCTCCATGACCTTGATGTCGGCGAAGGGACAGTTGCATTCTGGGAAGCGGGGAGAGCAGTGGCACCAGCAGTCGTTGTTGCGGCAGAGCAGCTCGCCCTCTGAGTTGCACGCCACATAGCTCAGGGCTGCCTCCACGAAACGCCCACGCAGGAACTCTGGCAGGACATCTTGCAATCCTGGAAAAAAATAAACACATACAGTCAAATAGATTTAGTTTATCTTTTAGAGTACAGTGGGGTTTTTTTTGTGTTATCTTTGTTAGGCTGGAAATAGAAATGTAAAGAATGTGGAACTGGAGTTTAAGTCTTTGCACAGAGAGTGAAGGCTGGAAAATAAAAATGAAGGAACATGGCAGAAAAAACTCCTGAGCATAGAGTTTCTTACAAGGTTCAAATCATAACTCTGACACCTTGTTGTTTTGAAAAGAGAGTTTGAAACTTTGAAACTAAGGCCACAATATTCATCTTAAATAGCTGCTTATTAGCATGCTAATTAGTAGCATACTGGCAGCTATTAGTCATTATTGAGTGCTTATTAGTACCTTATTCTACATGAACATAGTCTTTAGGTAATAGGTCATCTACTGACGCAAACCTCCTTTCCTCCCCCTGCAGGACAAACCATCAGTCCTGGGGGGAGGGCAGGGCCTTCTCCGTTGCTGCTTCCAGCCTCTGGAACATCAGAGACTCCCCCTCACTCTCCACCCTAAAAACTCACCTCTTCAACATCGCCTACAACCACAAACAAACTCTGTTCACTTCCTCCTTCTCTTACATCATTTCTTCATTGTCTCGTTGTTGTTCTTAGTTAAGCGCCTTTTAGAACTCAGAAAAGCGCTATAAAAGTCTGATGTATTATTATCATAACTAAGAGTCTGCCCTCAGTACCCTCCTTATTACTGCTTATTGTTAGTAAGTTAAGATGCCCTTTATCACAAATTATAATCTTAATATGCTTTTGATTAGTTTAGGTAGAATTAAAAGCATATTAAGATCATAATTAGCGCTTAATAATGACTAACAAGCAGCCAGTATGCTACTAGTTAGCATGCTAAAAAGCGACTAGTTAATGTTGAATATTGTGAGCTTCATTTAAAGTGTTACAGAAAAGAAGAGTTGTAGCTGGAGCTGCGTGTCATCACAGAGGTGGATGGATTACATTTTAAAAGGGAATCTAATACAAATGTTACGATTGTACATTTCAAAAATATTAATTTTAAATTCGAAATGCATCCACTGTCTGTCTATGCAATGCTGTAAAAGAGAATATAAGTTATTAAAAGAATGTGCTGTGCAGGCTGTGTACCTTTATTTAACATTGCATGTAGACACTGACACTAACAACATGCCCTATCATGACTGAGGCCAATAGAAATGACGTGATGTGCAAAGACAACCGATTATCACAGCTCAAACGACCGTGAAGGGTGCTCTGTGGCGGTGTGTTGAAGAGAGCTAACCATGCATATGTGATGATATTATCACAGGGGACACCACAGGAATGTTATTCAGCCTGTATCATTGTCAGTGATCGCTGTAGATGCATTCACACTGAGGTTAGAAACGGGCCTATAGGAGCATCTTTGACTAGACATCAGGACAAACTGTACACTTGTCTGCAGTCTGAATAAATAGCATGCTGTTGCAACCTGCCATGTACAGGGTTTCTTTCCATTTGCTACTCTGACTTTTTGCTCTTCAAAATCGAGATGCTTAAAGGCAGAATGTGCGACATTTAACGCATAAAAACAGCAGAAATCCAGTATATCCTGTGTAAATGTCTCTCTGAGTCATGACTGTGTATCAATGAGTGAAAAGCTCGAGTCACGCTGGTGCACGTTTTGTTGTCGATGTCTACATGGATGAGACGGCCTTGTGTCTGTTGTAAAGCTGTTTCAGTCAAAGACTATTGCTTATTTGGATGTCTAAGTGACTTTAGATCACAGTCATTCTTTTGCTCCTTTGCTAAAGTGCTCATGATGGATAGGCCGGGTCTTTGTAATATAGCAATAAGTAAGGTCTTTTACCTGCTTTTTGTAACATAACAATGAGTAAGGTCTTTTACCTGCTTTTTGTAACATAACAATGAGTAAGGTCTTTTTACCTGCTCTTTTGTAATGTTAACAAACAAAGAGTAAGGTATTTTACCTGCTTGAGTGTCTTGAGATAACACTTATTATGAGTTGACGCTATACAAATAAATTGAATTGAATTGAAATTGAATTCTGTGTCAATTTATGTGCAATATGAAGCTACGAGCTAACATAAGCCTGCTAACACAACAATGCAGACCACAGATGAATGCAGCTCTAGCAAAGGACAATTTTGTCCACCACTTACGCTTAATGGTGTTTAATTATGTTGCGTTCTCATTAATTTGCTATCAAATTTTTAAAAAATGCTCTGAACAGTTAGATAATTGAAACTTAATGTGTTATTCTGTAATTACAACATGTGACAACATGTTCACAGTGATGAAGAGGATTTGCATGACATCTCTGCATCAGTCATGTCTCTATTCAGCAGCACTTTGACACAGAGGGAATCTCAACAAATCACAGCAGCTGTGAAGCTGTGACAATTCAAACTAATGAAGGGTGAACTTCATTTGGCTGCCGTGGTTACAAGTCTGGCTTCCTGTCATGGCACTCTTTAAAAAGAACATCGGCGGTAACACCTGTGTTCCCCCTCGTCATTCTGCCAACCAAAAAGCTGCAGAGAGAAAAAATAATTTGGAAAAGTTTTCACAATTACCGGTGACACTGAGCAGAAAGACGGTGCCCACGAGCCTCTTTGATTACACAGGATGTTGGCACGTAGTCAGACTCCCTCACACAAAGTCACATGTTGAAGCATGCAGTATATTTTAAGAACTGGTTGGTACATGCAAAAAAATGATAAATGTAGGATTTAAGATCAAAACAGCTTGCATAAAAAAGTTTGAGCTGTGTGAAACAGTGCTGATTGTAACAGCAGGAAAGCGTCACAGTTTCAACTTCAGTACTTTTATTATTTAAATTATATAAAAAATTATCATGATATGCTAATTACGACAAAGTTTCATGACTGCACGACTTATTAAAAGCTGATGTAAGGTGTTAAAAGTGCTTCGTCATTTGTTAAGATACCAGCAGGCGGCTTTCAGAACCTGCTGGGTGCTGTTCACGCTGGTTTTCTCTGAACCTGTCTACTGGTCCATGTCTGTCTGTCTGTCTGTGTGTCTGTGTGTCTGTGTGTCTGTGTGTCTGTCTGTGTGTCTGTGTGTCTGTCTGTGTGTCTGTGTGTCTGTGTGTGTGTCTGTGTGTCTGTGTGTCTGTGTGTCTGTGTGTGTGTCTGTCTGTCTGTCTGTGTGTCTGTGTGTGTGTCTGTCTGTCTGTCTGTCTGTCTGTCTGTGTGTCTGTCTGTCTGTCTGTGTGTCTGTGTGTCTGTGTGTCTGTCTGTGTGTCTGTCTGTGTGTCTGTGTGTCTGTGTGTCTGTCTGTGTGTCTGTCTGTCTGTCTGTCTGTGTGTCTGTCTGTCTGTCTGTCTGTCTGTCTGTCTGTCTGTCTGTCTCTTATTTGTTATGTAGAAAGCATCCTCTCTCTCTGGATGAGTTCCAGCAGTCAAGTGAAACCCGCTGTGCCCTGATATGAATATGCATGTCTCTCTTCTTTGGTATTTACTCTTTCAATGGTTTGGAAAGAGATGTAATTAGTCACAATTCTCCTCTCCAATGATTTGGCAGGTGCTTTGAGGTTGTGTGTGTGTGTGTGTGTTGTGTGTGTGTGTACTAGCTGCAAATCTGGCAGTGGGGTTTCTTCAATTTGGGAGACAGCTAAATAACACTACTCCCCTTACCAGTCACTCTCCCAATTTCTCTGTCTCTTTACACCACTCTTGTTTTTCTACCTCCTTTCGTTCTCTTCAGATCGTTCCGTCTCATCGTGAGAGTACACTCGATTATTTCCCAGAGGACCGCTCTTGGCTTTGTAAGGACTTTTTACATCAGTGGTGGAAGTTAAAGGAAGTAATCCTTGTTATTAAAACTCAGCTTATTCTGTTGTCACTGCTCTGAACATTTACAATTACCTCTTGATAACTGGATGATATAAATCAATGTATTCAGTTCTTTTTCTCCTCCTGAGCAGTTCTACATTTAACTGTCTCTATTGAAACAGTCCAAAACTCCCACATGTACCATTAAAAAAACATTTTCTTATATATTTATGTTTTCTCACTTGAGCTCCTAATTAATGCAAACGTGTTGGAAATAGGATGTTTGAAGTGATCAAAGCCGTCATGTTTGACTTGTTGTTATCAAAGGAAGAAATAGCAACCAAAGCTCTGATAAAAACGAATGGAAACGTGAGCAGGCTGCCTACAGTAAGGTCAGTCCAGTCGTCGCCTCAGCTCATTGAGGCAAACACATGAAAGTCATGTTGTGGTCCAAGGTTTCGGCCGTCAGAGGGGAAGCACCAGCACACATTTCTGTCAGTACAAGTTAACTTCTAATACAGCCCAACCAGTTTTACCCGCTGACAAAAATAAAATAATGCAAGACCAATGTTTTGACCACTAGTCAAAAAAGTCCCAAAGGATTTCTCCCACATTTTGTGGCTCTCATCAGGAGGTGACACATGAGTGGACCTTGTAGTAGAAACAAACCTGTTTTTATAATCAGTATTTTAGTTGAATATCAATATTTGCTTCCAGAACCATGTCCAATCTTGTTCCGATCATAACAAATACCACTTAACACCTTTGTCATTAGAGAGACCCTCTCTACACATATGCATCAAAAAATGTGGTATGCATATTTATGGATTTATAAAATTGCTCAGTAATTGGCATATTAAAAGGAAGAATGTGCAACATCCAGTAGATGTAGACATCCTTGAGCACCAGCACTAAACTTCTGTTTGGCCACTCCTCCTCCATACTGAAGCCTTTGCTCTCCTCCAGCGGCACACCTCCTACCCCTTCTCCACACAGTTTGCACTTAAGGAGTTATGAATTAGAACGCACCATGTTTAAGCACCATTAAGCGAAAACGGCGGCCAAAGTTGTCCTTTGCTTGCACCTGTGGCCTGCATTGTTGTGTTAGCAGGCTAATGTTAGCGCTCTTTAGTTAGCTCAGAGCTTCATATTGCACATACATTTAAACAGAACGACCCTGGTCTAAAAACACTTATGTGACCT